TCTGCTCCCATCAGCCCTGGCCCCACCCCAGCAGGGTTGGCTACACCCCTAGCACTCCTAGCCTTAACCACAGGTGAAATGACTTCATGCTTCCTGCCAGTAGTCTGGCAGTGCTAGTCACACCCCCTAGCCCATAGCCCTGCCCCAAGACAAGTACCTTCATACTTCACGCTAGTGGTCCCACAGTGCAAGCCCCGCCCCCAGGCTCTAGCCCTGCCCCCAATCAAGGTAGCACATGCTTCCTGCTCCCTATACGCTAACCCTGCCCTCAGAATAATACCTTTAACCTTCATGCCTCATACTAGTAGCCCAGCAGTGCTAGCCCCAGCCCCAGACCCTAGCCCCGTACCCAGGCAGGTACCTTCGCGCTTCATGCCGGTGGCCAAGCACTTCTGGTAGCGGCAGTACTGGCAGCGGTTGCGCTGGCGCTTGTCCACCACGCAGTCCTTGTTGTCCCGGCACGTATAGGTCAGGTCCTTGCGGATCGTCCGCTTGAAGAAACCCTTGCAGCCCTCACAGCTGTACACGCCATAGTGCTTACCTGCATAGAAGATGCGGGGCTCAGCTAGGACCCTGGTGTCCAGGGCCTGACCTCCAAGCATGAAAACTCAGCACCTGGGATTCAGCACTCAGCATTTGGGGCCCGGTGCCACCTTCCTACAACCCACCAGATGCAGCAGAGCTAGGGAAGAACCCAGGTTTCTGGTGTCCGGCCAACCACCAAGACTGCACCACTCCTCAGAGCTGTGATCGAACCCAGGCATCCTGGCTCCCAGACCCCTGCTCCCCTCTCCCCAAAGCTGGGACAGAACCCAAGTGCCTGGGCTCTTCACGGCCCCAAACCCCACTGCTCCCCAGAGGTGGAAGAACAGAACCCAGGCATCCTGGCTGTCAGCCCCCACCCACTTTAACTCACCAGATCCCCCTAACTGACAGAGATGAGACAGGAGAACCAGACATCCAAGCTGGCAGCCTCTCCCTGCTTTAACCCCCCAGATCCTGCAGCTCCCAGAGCTGGGATAGAACCAGGCGCCCTGGCTCCCTGCCCCACCCTGCTCTAACCCTCCAGACCCTGCTGCGCCCCAGAGCAGGTAGGAACCCAGGGATCCAGGCTCCCCCCTAGCACTGTAACCCAGCAGGAGCCAGGAGCCCAAGGCAAGGCCCAGGTGTCTTGCCCTGCTCTGCACCCCCTGTACCTGATGACCTGTCCCCACAGATGGCGCAGAGGCGCTTCCCAGGCATCATGCCACCGTGGGGGTGGCAGGGAACCCCCCGCATGCCCAACGGCGGCTTCACGTCATCTGAGCTGCTCACTGAGTGCAGCCCCGACAGGTTCACCGTGGAGTTGATCTGTGCCGGGAAGAGTGGAGAGGCATGAACAACTGGTGCCTCCTGA